TGGGAAGGTTACTTTGGAAATGTAATAGGTTACAGATTACAAGTTACCCTACTTCAAATGTAACAAGTAGTGTAACTTTTCAATTACTTTATTAAAGTAATGTAACTGATTACATTTGATTACTTTTTGATTACTTTTCTAAATGTCTAATGTTTTCAACTGTTTATCTTTTTCAAACATGTTAACCAGGCAGGGTAAACCTTACAGTAGTACTCAACACTGATTACTGTCACACTTTAGAAATCCTTCATCACTTGAATTAAGATTACAGTTTTAAAGTAGACATTGGATGCAAAATTCACTTTTACATGGTGTTTGCATATAAATGTATCTTATCAGTGTGTGGACACAACCACCCTACAATGATAAAAATCCATTTACTCCTTTTTTTTTTTATTTTATTTTTTTTTTTTTTTAAGCCCCCAAAACCCTAAACTGGCTCAATTATCAAGCCGTTTTGATTTTCTGAGCAGTATGATGTCATATTGTTCAGGCCCCGCCCACAACCGCTGATGTACTGTGCAATATTAGCATATTTTCAGCTCAGCCAGTTGTACAAAGTCCATCATTTTCTCCATGCTCCAGCAGCTGTCTTGTAAGCAGTGCAGGTATTTTGTAGTTTTGTGATGTAGAAGAACATAAGAATCGTAATTTTCTCCCGACATCAGAGCCACTGAGGACGCAGTGCATTAGTTTTGTTTTTAATGGTAATGCGCCACTGAATACACCTAAATTTGTTTATGTCTGCGCAAATAATTTTACTCCAGACTGCTTTCTGAACGAGGTGCAGGTTTTGTTAAAATGTTAAAACTCAAGTATAGATCAGTACCCATTGTTCGTGATCCAGCTGCACCTCCAGAATAAATAAGTCTGACACTTTATATGTTTTATGATTATTTGCAAATCGCCTTTGCTCTTCCATGGAAGAAAGGGGCGGGTGAGCAGAGCTCATTAGCATTTAAAGGGACATGCCCCAAAATGAGTCGCTGTGAACAGAGCAAGTTAAACAGGGTGTTGTTTTACAAAACCACTGAGGAATTTTAACCAAAGTATGTTGCAAACCGTTCATGAAGACCCTAAATAATAATACCAACTTGTGGAAGATTAATGTCCCCTTTGAAGCACAGCCACCACAAAATCAGACTTACTTTGAGATCATTCGGAGGTTAAATACATATTTAAAATCATAACAAGAAATATTTTATTAGCTATGATACTGTTTTTGAAATCAAATCTTTACATAGCTATGACAGTAAACACTGGAATCTAACAATGCCTTGGGGGAAAAAAACAGTTAAT